CAGATGCTAAGAATTCATTTTTAGTTATAATATACCTGAAATGCATGTACATGCTTAGAGTAATAACACATTTTTCTGGTTGTCATATTTTAGACAACTTGAATAATCTGAAACACATCTGTGATCTCAAAAAATGATTTACAAGATGGTTTCAAGTCTTTCTGCCCAACATTTACATTTTCTCCTTTCTTAATCTAGGCAACTTCATTTATCTTTTAAAACTGAGTTTAAATGCAACAACTCCTTCTCCACCCCGAGCCCTGGCTCTAGAGTATTCATCTACACTGAACTACAGTTCTTTGCATCTGTGTTCATCTCTTTTCCAAGACTGTGGACCACCGAGGGACAGCAGACTCCTAGGTGAAGCTCCCTTCAGTCTTCCAATTCTCATCACTTCCAGGCACTGGCAGCCTCACTCCAGATATGCTATGACACCTGTCTGGCCGGCCAGCCATGCTGGGAGTTCAGATACTTCAGAAAGCCTCTGGTGGCCAGTGGAGCCTCCTGAGTCACACGGTGGTAAGTGCTGGCTCAGGCTGGGGGACTATGATTCTACCTTCCTACCCTTGCTCACAGACTTGGGCTATACTTGGCTTGGTGGCCCTGCCTGGAAGCCCATTCTTTCTGGGTTTGAGGCTGTCCTGACCTCTTCTTTCTCAACTTGGCTGGTACATTGATGGCAACTGATTACTACATGGTAAATGGATACAAGCTTATCCATTTCACTACAGTAGAGGGCCCTAAGCCTCTGTCTCCCTCTTCTGACAAGCCTGTCTGATCTTATGCATACTGCCTGGGATCGGATTTCACCAGTATGTTTTGGTTTTGCTAAGATCACCATCAGGAGTGCCAAGACTGAAGACAGATGGCGGGACTGTGTGAAGAGCAGGTAGGTGGCTCCTGACAAGAATGAGGAGCAACCATGGCAAACAGTTACTGCCCGCAGAAGGCACAGGAAAAGCATCAAATATGTGGCACAGTGGAGGAGCATTACTGAGCCCAGAGGCACACTGCTCTATGCATTTCAAGATGCCCAAGAACATCACTGAAGGTCAAGGCCAAACACATAGCACAAAGTCAGTTCCCATGCTTTCTCAGCCTGGAGGGCATGAATACATCCAAATTCAGTTCAGCAGCATGTTCAAATTACAGATCAGAATCCTTAGAAAACATTTAATGTATTTACTACACTGTCAGCAGGCTGCCAAGAACATATATTTCTTTCTAAAAATACAAATATTTCATAGATTTATGAAACATGAAACATAGATCTGTTTCATAGAGACAGTAATAAGATCTTAGTTACCTAGTCAATAGGGGCCACCGTATTCCCAAAGATATTAGACAGTTAAGGCACCAGGTACATGTAGACACACATCACTCATAGTGAGCTGAAGCACTTTCCAAGGGCAGTAGTCAGGGGCTTGGGGAACGCTTGATACATCAGGGACTTAATAAGAAATTTTCTTGAGATTCTACAACATCAAATGGGGTCTTGAGGACATCACCCCTCAGCTAGTTGGCTCCTAGCCACCAAAAGCAGATTGGACTCCAGATTTCTGCTGGGAACTCAGTTTTCTGGTTATCGTGGCTACCCTTCCAGCTGCTGATCTGTGGCCCAAGTTTCCTCTTCCTTCTCATGCTCCTGCTTAGTTTTGGTGTCTTCAGCTTGGACATCTGGTGGCTAACTCTGGCTTTGTCCCATAGTTCCATCCCTGACTCTCAGACCAGCTCTCACCACTTTAGGACTGACTGGCTTCTGTCCACCTTGGTCTTGATTAATCCCTGCTCACTGTTTGTAAGGCCATGACAGGAGGTCAAGGTTGAAGCCACAAGATAAGTAGCACAATACACCATACTAGGCTTTGCTACTGTCATGTTGTACATGGCTCTAAATATCCCTGAATTAGGCTCTCTGAGGAGGCAGTACTTTGTGACCCAACTTTTCTGTAACAGAAAATGACACATAGCAGCGTCAGATACTTAAACCCAAGGAGTAAAAAGCCTCACTTCCTGGCTAGTTATTCTTTCAAAGAAGCCCTAAAATTCAGAAGCAAATGAAATTAGTAAGGAGACAGTTCACTGCCCTGTGGGGACCTCATGGGCAGGCCTGGCCTGAGGAAGCTATTTTAGAAGAGGTTCTTAAACAGTCATGCAGAGTTCCCCAGGAAACTAATAGATTCTAGATGCCACTGCCAGGAAGTCCAGTTCAGTGATCTGGCTCCAGGACTCGGCTTTTGTTTTTGGTTTTAAACATGAAACAGGGTCCCACTACAATAGTTCAAGCTGGACTCAAACTTTCAATCCTCCTGCCTCAGCCTTTAGAGTGCTAGGATTATAGGCAGGTGCTTGCATTCTTCATTTTTAATGAGCCTTAGCTAATCTTTTATTTATTTATTTTTGAAAATCCTAACTACTTTATTGGGCTTGTTAACAGAACATAGGGTAGGGGTTTAGTTACAGAAGATTGGGCATTCCCCGCCCCCCCAACCCCGCCAATTTATGGCTGCCCTGAAAAGTCCACACTCAAATATAGATTCGGTGACTTCCCGAACAGCCACACAAATGGCAAGAGGTGCCTTAAGGCATTCTTGGCTTGTATATCCTTAGCCCCTGCCTCAGATGCAGCTAAGGTCGCCTGATTGGGTAGCTAATCTTTCTTTTAAAATTTAAATTAAATTTTTTTCTTTTGAGAATTTCATATATGAGTATTGTCTTTGTAGTATTTCAAGTTTTAGCTAATTCTGATGGGCTTAGTCCTTGGATGGCTCTACAAGGAATACTCAGCACAGCATGAGCAAGTCACCCCCCCTCCGAGAGAGAGAGAGAGAGAGAGAGAGAGAGAGAGAGAGAGAGGCAGGCACAGTGAGCATAGGACCTGACTGATATGTTCTCTGGTCCCATGATACACTGGGCATAAGACAGCTCATTTGGCTGGTCCTTTCCCAGTGATCTTGTCATAGAGCATCACCTGGTTTCAAGATCAACTTGGTTTTAGTAAAGACAATGTCAACTTCTTAAGTTTTTATACAAAAGATTTTTAAAACACATTTTATTTTATTGTTTATTTTTTAAATTTTATTTTATGTGTATGTGTGTATTGCCTGCACGTAGGTAAATACACCTGTGTTGTGCAATGCCCAAGGAGGACAGAAGAGGCTGTTGGATCCCCTGGAACTGGAGTTACTGACAGTTGTTAGCAGCCGTGTGGGTGCTGGGATTCAAACCTGGGTCTTCTGCAAGAACAGCCAGTGTTCTTAACCGCTGAGCCATCTCTCCAGCCCCACAAAAGATTATTTAATATGGCTTTGGAGTAAATAGGAATACTAAGTTCTATTTGTATTTTCTTTTCTTTTTCATCTTTTTTGAGACAGGGTCTCCTTGTAGGCCTGACTGGTCTCATCTCACAGAGATCGACCTGCCTTTGCCTCCTGGGTGCTGGGGTTAAAGGCATGTACCACCCACCCAGCTCTATCTTTCTTTTTTCTTTTATCCAAGTTAAACAAGTCATTTTAAGCTTACAGCAACCATTATTTCTTGAACTACTGAATGACATATCTATTAGAGCCATAAAATCTTCAGATTAAGCTCTCTAGCTCTATGTGTGTGTTATTACTGAGGAAGACATGCGCATACCTGAATGATCTGATTCCTGGGACCCAGGCACACCAGTAATGGTGGAGTCCAGGAAACGGGCACAGGCTGTGGGTTTGACTGCCTGGGCCAAGTTTCCCTGGGCATTTCCCCAAGCAAAATTGGAAGGCGGACCTTAGGAAGATCAGCTTAATTAGGAGGATTCTGGTAGGGAAAAGATGGTTTTGGACTCTAGGATGACAGAGATATTGATGAGCTATTAGATCCAGGAGGCCTGTCTGATATTTGAGATAATGGAGTCTACATTTGTTTCAGGATGATGCCTTCATTTTTGCACCAATGTGGTTTATGGCTTGCAGGGGGATATGTGGACTGACTGATGCAACCATTAAGGATGTGAGAGTCCCATTCTTACTGTTATTGTGATGTGTGTGCATGTTTGTTTTTTTCCTAGGAGGATCTTTATTTTTTCTCCCAAATCTCATAACTGGTTATGCAGATGTTTAATTGAGAAGAATAACTATGAATTACTGTTTGTTTGGTTTTTTTCCTTCTAAACTTTCCTATCGGAATCACTTATTGTTTCTCTTCCCTATATTTAAGTGCTCTAAATATTGTAAGATTAAAGTTTTAAAAAATAAACATTGCTAAGATGCTCAGGTTTTTAAAATGTTGCTGTGTCTTGGTTGAGAGCCTTGCATACTGTAGGACTGCCACTGTGCAGAAAAGAAGAGTTTAAAGTCAGGTAAGAGGTAGGATAAGTTAGTTGAGGAAGGAGTGAAGGCATATCAGCATCATGGAGGCCCAGGGACAGTGGGACTTGGGGGAGGGGAGGATCAAGGTCAGAGAACTCTGAACACTAGTTACTGGAATACTAGAATACTCCAGAAGTTAAAAGAATATTCTCAAGAAAATACTTAATGAGGCAATTAAAGCTCAGCTGTTGACCCAGAGCTTTTGAATATCTTCACCCGTCTTTTTAAAACCCTGGTATGCTTTGAGTAAATAAAAAAGAAAGGCAGATTTTATCCAGGTTTTTGTTAGCCTTTCAATTCTGACCCTATCTACTAAATCTTTAAATATCTCTTATGGAAAAAGTGATATCATTTTAGTTTCCAGCTCCATCCCCATCTGGCCAAAAAGAGGATCAATTAATATTACCGTGTTTTGTATTTAGGGCCTCTGACATCTCTGAGGACCAGCCTGTGGGACAGTCTGTCTTTGCAGGGCTTCTCAGCCTGAGCGGGGATTCAGGACAAGGCCAGTTCACGTAACACAGCTCAGAGCATACAACACAACTTGCTCCAAGGATGTTGGGCATTGTGCTTCATTAGGAAACAAAATATAAGCTTTCCACACCATTAGGAATGACTTTAGGAGTGAAAGCACATAAGACGATGCCTCACCTCATCAACAATGCACTGCAGAAGCTGGAGAGGCTGCAACGGGGAAGAAGAGAGGAGAAAGTATTAGCTCTGTGCAATGTCTTTACAGTGGAGTGGAAAGAAAAAATCATTAATGCAATAAAATATAGCAAGATTAATCAACAACAGCAAACTCTTATAAAAACACTGATGCTCAGGATGTTCTATTATTTCTAATGGTACCTAATCTAATACAGGCAGTTAAAGGTTTGCATTTTCTTCAAAATGCAATTTGCTAAGTTTAAAACAAGGCATTCAAGCATGCAAAGGAAGCAGCCATCAGGAAAAAGAAAAGTGAATTTTTTTCTGAACTCATAAAGCTTACCATTAAAGATCCCTGGTTTTTCTGAATCTGAAAAAAGGCAATATGTAATTAGCATGTCATAATCAAAATGACTCACTTGGACACATTATGATCACTGAGAGAAAATTATTGCATTGCTGGTGGCAATTTGTGGGCATGTGTTAACACAATTTACATAATGAAAATACACAAATGTTAATAGCTCGCTTCTCATTTATAGGCGAAAGTCAGCAGAATGTTAATTTCACACAACACTTTTTAGTACCCTCCAGGTTGTATTAGAATAGGGAGAAAAACCATAATCCATTTCAAAAGGCTGTTTACGATTCAGATATAAATAATGTTTTATATTGCTGGATTGTGAACACTGGGCTTAATGTTGCAATCATCGCTAATGTTATGAAGCTCACTCTTTTTAAATTAAAAACCGATTTATTTAAAATTGAAATTAAATCATAGTCAGAAATTAGAATTTTGGATTCCTGCCAGTGTCTGCTCACAATCCTCTATTTTGTGAAGGAAACTTTAATTATGTGGTTGAAGTATTTGCCTGGAACTTGGGAGTGGGGTAAACACTCCACCCTTTTCAAAGTTCCTCAGTCTATTTCTAGAGCAGCAAGGCTCTCTGGGAAAAATCAAAAGCATGAAGTTTTACACTGCTTCTCAGGGAGTGTAGCTGGTGTATCTTCTTCAGCCTTCTGCAGGCAGGCTGCTCACCTCTAACACTGGCAGCCGGATTGCTTAGGAAGTTAACCAAATGTGACAAGATTAATCAACTTCAACTTAGTAGTCAAAATACCAGACACATATCTATAGTTAGTATATACAAACCCAGCAAAGAAGGAGTCCTGGGTCTTGCATTTGATAAATAGGAAATTTTTAGGGCTCAAATACTGTTACTGATGGGTCAAGTGTTTTCTGGGATATATGAGCCCCAACCAGCTAGTCAGAATAGATGGAAAGAGTAATCCTTCCACATATGTCCCTCCACTTCTTTGTTTTTCTTTTCTTAAAAATACTTGTTTTTATTTTACGTGTATGAATGTATTGACTGCATGTATGTAACTGTATCCATGTTGTACAGTGCCTGAGGAGGTCAGAAGAGGGCATCGGATCCCCTGGAATTGGAGTTACAGATGGCTGTTAGCCACCTGGGAACTGAACCCAGGTCTGCTGCAAGAGCATCCAGTGCTCTTAACTGCTGAGCCATCTGTCTGTCCCCTTCCATCATTTTTCTTGCAGTGTTGGGAATCAAATCCAAAGCCTCAGATATGCTTGGCAAGTGGTTTACTGCTGAGCTACAATCCAGTATCCTTTATATGTTTTCAATGATAGTGTGCATGTATGTGTTGTATACGTGTGTCTGATATATACATGTATATGTGTATGGTATATGCACACGTGTATGTGGTATATGCAAGTATGTATGTGTGGTCTATATGTGTACAGGGGTATGTGTGCATGCATGCATGCTTGTGTGTAGTATGTGTGTTTGTGGATGCCAGAGGCCGATGTGTCTTTCTCTATTGCCCTCCACCTTATTATCTGAGACAGAGTCTCTTACTGAACCTAGAGTGCCCCATGGGACGTGCTCGTCTCTGCCCTACCAATGCTGAGATTTCAGATGCATACCGTGGGGCCTAGCTTTTACATGGTGTTAAGGATTCAAACTCAGATCCTCATGCTTGTGCAGCAAGCACTTTACCCACTGAGCCATCTCCTCAGCCCCTTAATGATACTTTTGAGAAGTGCTTTCTTGCTCAACCAACCCTAAGGTATGTGGGGATGACCTTCTCTACTCTATGACAGGAAAACCAGGCCCAAGTCACAGGCCTGGGTCTGTTGTTGCTAAGTCTTGCCAGCTCTTCTTTCCTTGTATAATACCTGCACATTATCATCACACTCCTTAATAACAACTCAACTGGGTTTCATACATTTATACTTGGCATGGTAGAGGAGCTTAATAGTTCATCTTGGCATGCAGGTCTGTGGACTGGGCTTCTCCAGGGTGGCAGTGGGCTTATGCTTTTCTTTTGCACCAACATGGCTGATCAGCAGATACTTCCTCCTAATGCTTGAGCTCCCCTCTGCCCACCTGAGTCTTGCTATATAGCCCAGGTTAGCCTAGAACTTGTGATTCTAGTGCTCCACCTTCAAGTGCTGGGACTACTGGTGTGCGTCACCACACCAAGCAGCTTGAGTGTTTTAGAAGGGGCTTTTCTGTGCATAATCTTGGCTGACTGAGCAAGCTACTCATGGCTGCCTCCTCAGCAGTGACCCTGGGAAGGCGGGTCCAGGCTGGTTCTCAGTCTCTGTAAGTTCCTGCTTGACACTAGCCTGAATTACTGTTCTTGTCAGGTTCAGTTAGACTCCAGACAAAGCTGGCAGGTACAGATTCCCTCTGTGAGGGGAGGCTGAACTGCTCACCTACACCTGGATTTTAGAAATTCAGAATGAGCCACACCACCAAGGGAAAATCTCCAAGAGCCCAGGTCACTTCAATTGAGTTTGTTTTTCTTTCCTTGCTTCTATGCACACACAGGAACCTCATGCCAAGTCTTAGTAAGATCTATCCACATCCACAGCAGAGCTGTTTGTAATGCACAAAGCATTGGAAATCCATTTTTGACATCAAAGAGAATGTTTTCTCACAAATTTCCAAGAGTCAGGGAGATTACAACATTCTTTGAGGACAACGTGGCAAAAAATTCTATGAGCTGCTTTGAAATGGGCTTAGGGACAGTTTACAAGACAGGTCTCCAGTAACATGAGCCGTGTGAACCAAACGGACTGAGGGGGGAGGATTTCCTCATGACCTTAGCTCTTATGGAATGTCTCCACCTTGCCCCGTCCTGTGGGTTAAAAGCAGAATAGCTTAACATCTCTTACTTTATTGACCTGGTGAGGTGATGCAGTGGGTTAAGGTGCTTACAAACAAGACTGATGATTGAGTTCAATCCCTGAGACCCACATGGTGGAAGGAGAGTTGCAACTCACGTTATCTTCTGACCTCCACATGCCTACTGTGTTACACGTGTGCATGCACATGCATACACACACTAAACAAATAAATACATGTAATTAAAAATGTACTATCTCAGGGCTTGCTACAAGAAAGGAGCAGCAATCATTGTCTTCTTTATGGTATTGTAACTATCCAGTTTTTCCAGGTTTTTAGAGAGAGAAATGGTGTTCCCGGGTTTTATTACACAGTTTTGATAGCAACATATTATATGATATCATCTTCATAAATTTTGTATTAAGGTAGCATGCCAGTACCTGAAATTGATTCAAAACCCTTAAGATACTCAATTACTTTTTAACACTGTTACACAATGAGGTGACTTATGCCTTCCATTTCACAAGAATTTGATGATGTAACATCATTGTAATTGATTCATTTTCTCAATTAAATAAAGCTACTGTGCTTTTCTTTATATGGGTGCCACACAGGCCACGAGTTAGATGTATGATCTCCTTCCCCCATCTCAGATATATTGCCTTAAAGGCTATGTTCTGTTCCTCTGTTAATTCCACCAGAAAATTTAATGCCACAGTCATATTTTTCAAATTCTGAACTGCCATGCACTCGGCTGTATTTATATTAGGCGTATTTTTCACTGCTAAACTCTTTGTTGTTTACCTTTTTCAAGATCATATTACTGTCGGGGTGCAGCAACCATAAACCAGATCCAAACAAAGTCAACCTCCAGCCACTGCCTCTGTTTTCACACACAGTTCATGAAAAAGTGAAGCCTCTTGTTTTATAGCACATTGAAAGTAGTACTAACTGGGTGAAAGATGTCAGCTTTGTGAGCACCTCTCTTTATTCTGGGTCTGCCTTTCCAGAAGCCTGGCAGTGAGAGCAGAGTTCAGGGGCGCACGGTCACCTTGTTAGAGCTGATGTATGGCCTGCTCCTTGCAATATATGAAATGCTCTTCATAACTGACTTGCCCAAGCCCACGCTCCTGCTTGTACATTTTACTCGTGTTGAGTGGTTTCTGTGGCTAACTAGGACTTTGGGACAATGAATAGAACATAATTGCTCCAGACAAACTCTGTGCTAATCAGTCTCTGTAATTAGTGGTGTTTTGATACATTAATGAGATGAACCTCCTCCCTCTTCTGGGCAGTTTAATTTTTCTTTTGTCAGTGGTTAGATTCAAGATTTAAAGCCACACTAATGGGAGAGTTCAGCCTCATTCTGATGTAAGACATGCTCATGTGTTCAAGTGGGGAAGAACAAGAGCTACCACAGTACTGGCCAGGTACTGTTACTGTATTAAAACATTTACCATGTATTTCTCTGCAAGGACCATACAGTTGGACCATACAATTGACAAACTCCTATAGCATGTCTTGTGACTTTGGAAAATGATCCTGGAAAGGAAAAAGTCAATGCAAAGGTTCACCTGTAGGGCCTCAATGACTTAGTCAACAGTGTTGGCGAGAAAAAGCAATTTTGGAAGTTTCACTTTCTGCTTCCGTCTGCACATAACAGCAAAACAGATTTCGCTGGCAGACTGCTTACATTATATTCAGAGGCACAATCAGAAAACTAGGATGGATCCACCTGTGTGACTTAAGGAAGATGCCAGTGAGCGCTTTCATTTTCTTCTTTGCTCCATGAAATGATAACTTGCCCTGCAGCTCTTGTCTGAGAGATTTATGAGTGACCTGGGTCACATCTTCCAATATCAGTTGACAAATTTTCTCTTTACATATTTACTGATTTTCAAGCTTGTGTTATTGTCTCTTAAATAGAAAAAAAAATGAAGTATAAAATTACCTGGTATGGTTGGAATTTGTAAAGAAAAGTGGTTTCATTTCTTGTGTGACTTGCAACGTGTTCTAGTCCTCAGTGTTGAACTCTATCCTTATTTCATTTTTAACTTCAAGCACAAGGAATTGTAGGTATTTTGCAAAGATTCTCTTTTCAAGTCTGATGCATCAACTATAGCCTGGGCTAAACGTACACAGGGATTATGATAAATTGGTACTTTTATATTCTAAATGAAGAATTATGACCTAAAGAATTTTTCAAGTG